GCTGAGGCAGAAGGATTGCTTGAGCCCAGGAGTTTGAGGTTGCTGTGAGCTAGGCTGACCCCACGGCACTCTAGCCCGGGCAACACAGTGAGACACTCTGTCTTAAAAAAAAAAAAAAAAAGGGAATGAAGTACTGATACATACAACAACATGGATGAACCTTGAAAACATGCGATGTGAAAAGAGCCAGACACAAAAGGGCAAATATTGTATGATTCCACTTACATGAAATATCCAGTTTAGGCAAATTCATAGAGAAAGAAGATAAGGGGTTGCCAGGGGCTGGGGGAAGGGAAAATGGAGAGTTACTGCTTAATGGGCACAGAGTTTCTGTTTTGGGTAATGAAAAAGTTTTGGAAATAGATGGTGGTAGTGGTTCCACAACATTGTGAATGTAATTAATGCCACTGAATTGTACAGCAAAAATGGTTAAAATGGCAAGTTGTATGTTATGTATATTTTACCACAATAAAAAGTTAATAAAAAATTACTGAACATAAAATTTCTGTGTACATTTCTATTTCCTTGTGAGAAATGACTGAAAATGGACTTAATTCTGCCACAGAGGTATGAATATTAAAAGCTCTTGATTTGTACTGCCAAATTGCTTTTGAAAAGGTTCTCTCAGTTTTTACTCCCACAAGCAGTATATTTGAGTGTTTTACCTTATTCTCACTAGCATTGGATATTATTATTTATATTCTTATTTTGATAGGCAAAAAAGTATCAAAGTATCTTATTTTACTAGTATTGTACTAAATTATTAGTGAGTGTGAAAAAATTAAATATATGTTTATATGATATTCATTAACTGTTTTGGCCCTATTTTCTTTCTTTTTTTGTTTTGTTTTTTGTTTTGTTTTATGTACAGTTGACCCTTCAACAACATGGGTATGAACCACTGGGGTTCACTTATATGTGGATTTTTTCCCCCAGTAAATACAGTTGGCCCTCTCTATTGGCAGGTTCCACATCACAAACTGGGTGAAGGGCACACTTATAACTTTGACTCAAACTGTACAAAAGCAAATTATGTAACCAAAATGTGTGTAGCCCCACAAAATTCTGAAATATAAAAAAAGAAAATACAATTGTCCCTGGGTATCCTCAGGGTATTGGTTCCAGGACCGTCCTCGGATACAAAAATCCACCCATACTTAAGTCCCACAGTCGGCCCTTTGGAGTCTACAGACACAAAAAGTCAAACCTTCATATATGCAGGTTTCACATCCTAAGGATGTTGTCTTTCTTTTCTTTTTTTTAAGAGAAAGGGTCTCGTTCTGTCACCCACGCTGGAGTGCAGTGTCACGATCACAGCTCATTGTAACCTCAAATTCCTGGGCTGAAGTGATCCTCCCACCTCAGCCTCCTGAGTAGGTGGGACTACAGGTGTACACCATGGTGTCCTGCTAATTTTTAAATTTTTTGTAGAGACAGGGTCTCACTATGTTGCCCAGGGTCGTACTGGCCTCAAGTGAGCCTCCTGCCTTGGCCTCCCAAGGTGTTGGGATTATAGGAGTGAGCCATTGTGCCCGGCCTTTTATGGTATTTAAATTTTTTTTTCTTACCAAGTTGTGAATTAAGTTTTATGGTATTTTTAACATATACAATTTTTTTTAAAGTTTATGGAGTCAAATCTGTTTTTCTTTGTCAT